AGAGAGCCATAACAACATTCTTTCTAGAAAGCCAAGGTCATCCTTTGTCTCTGCACCTCTGCACCTGACCGGAACTGGACAGGTGGAACTGCCAGCGTGGCAGTAGAAGATTGGACCATGTGATGGGCTTGTGGGTGTGGGGGAAAGATCTTGAACTTTCAACTGGGTGGGGAAGACTGGGAAGCTTTATGATTCGGGTTTCCCCAGATGTGCCAACATGGCTCTCTTCATAAATTGGAACTTTGAGGAATGCTTTGCCTTGGACTCTGATTTACTTTTGGATGCTGTTTGGAACCCTGACAAATAGGTTCATTTGAGACAGAGTTCCCCAACCTTTCTGGGTTGGTGGCCCGGAGGAGGGAGGGAGGAGCAGGCACCTTTATGCATGCATGCGCACATGTGAACGGGACAGCGCTCGCGGGGCTGCGAATGCATGCGTGATGCATGCAACGCTAGAGCCCGCGCAACACTCGCGGCAACGCTAGAGCCCAGGTGATAGCGTGAGTAAGGAGTGTGCACACATGCACACGGGTGCATGCATTGGCCTGCCAATCAGGCGGCCCGGTGGCTAACAAGCCACGACCTGGTAATGAGCCGTGGCCCACTGTCCGTGCGTGTTTAAAACGGTCATAAGTGGCTTTTTTTCACTACAATTGTAAGTCAAGAATTAGCTGCAAAAGAAAAGGGAATGAATAGGCAGAACCAAAACAAAGAAAAGTTTTCTGCTCTTAACTTTAATGCTGGCCTACAACCTTAGTAAACTACAACTAACTAACTCTCACTGAAGTTGGATTAAATTATAGCCTGCATAAAGGCTGGCTATACAGCGAGTAGAAAATTTATTAGCTCTTTTTTATTTTAAAAAAAAAAGACTTGGAAGGAATGCCAAATTCTAATCATTAAAGGTTCTCACTATGGAAGAATATTTATACCGTTCCCCCCCTTTTTTTTGGAAGGATGTAAATCTGAATTCTCTGAATCTGTAACCCTGGGATTTTTCCCCCCTCCCTTGTTCCTTCTTTTAAGGCTATAAAATGACTAAGGGAATTATCACAAAAAGGGCAGGAGAAAAATTGCGGTGTGAAGCTCAGCCAAGACGGATATTTTATAGCCGCTGTACGTTGGCATCCTTTTATTTACTGCAAATGAGTTTAAGCCTCTAAAACTTTGCCTTTTTACAAGGGGGGGGGAACCACCCAACAGGGCTGGGACTTTAAATTTGGGTTTGCAATGCAAGGGCGAGATTTTTTTTTGTCTTAAAAGTACTCAATATTTATGGCGGGAGCCCGCCACTGGAGGCAGAGATGAAAGATCTTTTATTCAAACATCTCATCCGCAATTCCGAAAAGGTAGGCTTTCTTTAGCTTTCTTATTTCCGTCTCGTTCTTCAACTCCACAAATCAGAATCGCTGTGAAATTGTCGACCTCCCGGAGTTGGAATTTGATCTCTATAATACAAAAATTAAACGTCTAATGTTGTTGTAGCCCAGGGGTGTCAAACTCAAGGCCCACGGGCCGGATCGGACCCGCCGAGTGCTTAGATCTGGCCCACAGCGGCAGCCTGGAAACAGTGAAGGACCAGCCCATGGGGCCTCTGGCAGCCAAAACGGGGCATGGGGAAGCTGTGGTATCACGTCCCATTATTATATATTACATTATATCATATTTTATAATCTTATCGTACTTTAACTATATTATATATTATATTAATGATATATCATGTCAAATTTTATTATATATAGCATAAGATATTATATAATCATATTAGGCCTGCCTGTCTGGTGGCTTGTTGGCCTTTGCAAACTGGGTTAACGGGGGAAAAGTTTTTGCCTACGTACATGAATTGCTTTGACGATAGTGGGCTCCCGGGTACCGCCTGCCCATAATGCTCGTCAGCACATTATCCGCCGTTGTCAGCTGTTTTCAAAGCACTTGACAGAACGGCTTTCCTGGAGGAAGAGGAGGAAGAAAAAGAAGAATGCAAAGATTTAAACACAATGCCCAGATTGTTTTCATTAAAATGCTAATGTCCTTCTCCCCGGCTGTTGGAGAACGGCTTTATAAATTATTCACCCTCCTGCCGGCAGCACAGATCGTTGGGCTATCAGTCCTGAGTAAATTTACTGTTCCGACTTGTGCTCGCCGGATAACGATAAATCACTTCCCAGCCAACATGGCAGCCGACGCACCGTCTCACCTGGATTTTGGCAACCTTGAGACAGGAAGCAACTCCCCAAGGCGGGGGGGTGGGGTGGGGTGGGTGGCTTCCGTCTCTTGGATGGGGAAAGGGTGGCAGAGGTAGCCTGGCACATCTGGCAGGGCCACAGCACAAGCTACACACCGCGGCAACGGGTTTGTTAGTGTCCCGGGCAAAGAACCAGATCCGCATTTGGCGATTTACCGCTCAAGGCTTTGTACAGGAATCTTCTCACACTCGCCATTTGCGTTCAGTTGTTTTCTTGCAGGCGTTTCATTACCACACTAGGTAACATCATCTGTTCCAGGACTACCCTGTTCCCCCCCCCCGGAAATAAGACCTATCCCGAAAATGTTTACGTGTGCGCCTGATAATAAGCCCTACTTAACAGCTTGCGCAGCCAGCCACCCGCTCAATCCGTCTGGTTGCTTGCGGTGCCTCAGCCACAAGGCGAGGTGCGGGGAGGTAGAACTGCCTCACGCACCCTGCAACGGCTTACCTCAGGATCACCACAGCCAGGCCATCCAGGCCCTGACACTTGCCTCACGCGGCAGCCCCGGCGGCCATGGGCAGCAGGAGTCCACGTAGCCACCGGCTCACGTCGACTGCTTGCTCGTAGCCGCAACGGAGCAGGAGTCTGAGTGGTATGCTGGTGCCGCGGCGGTGAAGCGAGGCAAGTGTCCGGGCATGGATGGCCTGCTGAGGGGGTCCTGAGGTAAGCCAGTATGGGGTGCATGAGGCAGCTCCACCCTCCCACCTTCCCTCGTGGTTGCGGCAGCATCACGTCGCTCAGCCTCCTGCTCCGTTGCGGCCGCGAGCAAGCAGAAGTGAGCCTCCCGTATATAGAAAAAAAATAAGACACCCCCCCCAAATAAGCCCTAGTGCCATGTTGGCGAACCTATGACACAGGTGCCACAGGTGGCAGAACAAAAATAAATTAATATAATAATGAAATAAAATAGAATAAAATGAAATAGAATAAAATG